ATTAGCTGAAGTTGCTCTCGCAGAGCGCGATTTTCTTCCTGTATCCGTTGTTGATTTTGACATGATTTACAGGTTGACTGTATTTCTCTACTGTCCGTTAATCGAGATCTATACGAGTCTTTGAGTTTGTTTACCTCATTTTCCAAGCGGTCGTATAGATCTTTAAGGGATTTGTAGCCATTGCATGTGTGACTCTGTTGTTCTGGGCTGCTGCTAGTGTCGTCCAGGTTTATAACAGCCGATGGCCGAGGTGACGGTTGGTTGACATTGTGGCGGGTAATTTGAATTTCACCAGATCCTGACAAAATCGACTCCTTGAGTCTTTTAACCAGCTCAGTTTTCCTGCCAGATTTAGAGAGCTTTCTTTTTTCAAGTTCGTCCCTTAGATCTTTCACCTTCAGGGAGTTGACGGACCGTCCATTTAATGCATACTTGATAGCAGCCATTTCGCTCATTTCAAAGGACGAAGAAAGCGAACCGTATTCGGGTACAGAAGTAGACATATTCTTGTTATTAATCTGATCAGCGACTACCAGAGTTGAGTCAGTATATACTTTACTCAAATCAGGCAAGGAACTGGTCTTAACAAGCCGCGGTCTGGAGATAAAGCGATCAGCCTTCGGAGCTAGGAAAACGTGTCCATCCGCCATATTATGCAAATTCGTCGACCAATCCATCTTTGCTTTGCTTGCCCCCACGACCATAACATAAGCATCGATGTCCTGAGAGGACTCAACGGAGAGAGTCGTGTTTAATAGATTGATTGGTCCTGAACTCGCCCAGTATATGAATCCTGTAAAGGAAGGAATCATAACTTCTCTATGCATGGTCACTCCATTTTGCCATGTTTTCGTCTGATCAAAAGATGTGTCGACTAAGTCAAGACTGGTTGAGCCCTCTGAACCAAATAGAGTGTAAGTGGCTGAATTGTCTACAAATCGAACGTTTCTGAGGTTATTGTAGCCGTTTGCCAAATGCAGGACCGAGGTATCGGCGGTATTTTTGTCAAAGCCAACATTAACGAGTTGGATGTAGTTTTTGTAGATCCATCTTGGAATTTTACACGCCAGAGGATCTTTTTCGTCGGGCGACAATCGAAAGTGTAAGATCATGCCTTGTATGAAATTGTGTTTAAAGGTTGCCTCTTCCATCTTTACCTTATTTCCTTCTTTTTCAATATAGAAGAAGACCAACGCTAAGCTTCGGAGAACAGAACTTTCAAACTCATTTGCCGAGAACACTACGTGTCTTATTACAAGTTGGGCGCCTGTAGACGCCCTAATATCCATGGAGAAATATTGGTTGCTTTCAAAGATCGACTGCGCCAGGGAAAATGTTGAGTTACTTGCTTCATCTGAGCCCAATTTAAAAAGCATTCCTCCTCCACTATTGTTTGTGTACAACAAGTCAGTTATGGTTATATTTGCCTTATAAGCTGCGCTCGCGAAGAAATTTACCGGATTTCCTGCCAATGTGTCATTATAAGCTGTAGTAGGTCTCCCGATATTTTCGGAGAAGTTGGATCTGATTAGGGTGAAATTTAGATGAACGGAGGAAATAAGAAGGGTTGTCCAGATGTAATGGGAACGTTTATCCTGTGAATTTCCATGGAAATTGCAATCAACAATCGTTACATCTGAATATGGAGCATCCAAGTATAGCGTTGAGCTTCCCATGTCAACCTTATTATGCAAAAACGAAGCATTCACTAAATTGATTTGAAGGTTAGCAGGCTCTACGGAAACTGTTAGAGTACCACCCAAGGGAGAATCCTCGATAAAATTAGGTTTTCGTAGGATGTTTTTTTGAAAAAGAACATTTTCAACCAGAATAAAACCTTTAGCTGCTTTAAAATCAACTGCTAGGATGTATATCGCTGAGCCATCATTTTTTGCGCTATTTTCCACAAATTTGCACTCTTTAATTTGCAGGTAAAATTTACGGCTGCTCTCAACCAGCATGGCCCCTCCACTTAGCGGAGAACTATTATTGGTAAAGTCACAATGCACGGCAGAAATATTTACGAGGCCTAACTTCCCGCCAACAAAGACTGCTCCCCCGACATTATGAAGAAACCTTCCTTTGGCCATAGACACGGAAACGTATCCCCACGTTGAATGAAAAGAGTTATGATCTCCAGAATGCGCTTGCGAAATATGGCCCAAGTACTTAGTTTCTCTGAAATACCTCACTCTACCGCTCACGTTATCAACATTTTTGACTTGCAAACATCCTCCGTTCGGCGCAAAGTTTCTTATGAAGGAGACATTGTAAAATGCCATAGACGTGATACATGATACCGAAACCATGAACACGGCCACATCCACCATTTTCACTTTACCTTCCCACGATGCGTTATTCTCGCTAAACACCGTATCAAGAACTTCTAGTCTGAGGTAATTCCCAACGACACGGACACAAGGAAGAGAATTGTTGCTGAAAACAGATTTGGCGATAAGCAAAGAATGGTTCCCATAGAATGTCTTAAAATCAACAACGGCCGATGCGTTTGATAACGATTTAGCACCGATAAAATTGCAATTTTCAACATAGAGCGAGCTCATCCGAGCCGCGATAGAGCTATCAATAAAAGCGATTCCATCCAGGTAAATAATCATCTTGTCCGATGTGTTTCTGCCATCTAAGGTAATTCGCCTCAAAGATGAGCATCTAATGAATACCTTATCTTTGCCGAATCGTCTCAAGGATAAACTTTTGTTGACGTAAATTCCATCTAGCTGCGACGTCGTCGGTAAGCATGGGTATGGATCACGTGATGTCTCAGTGCCATCAATATAGATAGTATCGTTCCACTGTGCATGTGCAATACCAAGAGCAATAAATTTACATGCTGTCTTCATTGTTTCACCACAAGAAGGCTGATTGTTACCATGATAGCGAGAGACATAAATTTCTTTACTGACAACCAGCACTACGAAAAACGGAAAGAAAGGCGAAAAATTACCATCACTGAAAATAGCCTCAAAACTCGGACACGGCTACCCTGCACAAATTGAAATTACGTATAGCATTTTATTTCCTGCTTTTGTCACGCAACGTGCCGTGTGACAGGACAAGGATACTATCCATTCGCTTTTCAATGTGGCAAAAATGTTGCGAAAAAACCGCTGCACCCCACTCACGGCCTTATTATAGAAAATATAGAATATGACAAGATGTTTGTATATAGTTAGAAAGAATTATGATTCTGCTGAGTCGTTTCAGAAACCGAAAGTGAGGCGATGCAAATTGACGGTACGATAAATTACATCTCGCAATGATCGTGTTATCTTCCCGTAGTATATCGTCTTGATCCTGTGGCTATATATACTTCATGATCTAAGGATACCATTAAAGTACAGATGATTAATTCTTAGAGGGATGTAGGACCCACATCGGTCCATTACCGAAATGTTGTTACCGCTGACTCTAATTAACTTACTTGTATGGAGAATGCACAGGATCAAAATAAGTAGGTTGAAAATGTGACTAATCGACAAAGTTTTCAGAATTCTCATAATCACAGACCAATTAGATCACCAGTTCGACGAAAGCTCCGGCCTCTAGTGACTGTTCTGTTTGATCAGACCTGAACGTAGTGCGCAAACTCTGTAGTTTTTAGGACCATTATCGGTCACACAATGTGTGTCTTACGACATATTTCTCGTCATGGTCAAATCAATAAATTTAAAAATCCATCAATTTTTCTCATTTAACTTACGAAGATATTACAGTTGATGGTTTGAAAAAGGCCAGGGGTAATATTTCATCATGTAGTCTGATCGGTCGGGTGTGAGTAGCACTGAAAAGAACAGTTTCTGGTTGTAGTGACTGACGTTTCAAGGACGTTAGCGGAAGTCATCATGAGGGTAAAGTGACTTCCGCTAAGGTTGTCGAAACGTCCTCACTACTACCCACTACAGTCCTCCTTGGGATTACTCCCGCCAGGCCTGTCAAGCTGTGCAGGAAGGAAGATATTACACAGAAGTGTTAAAATGTTTTGCAATTACATTACACATGTGATAAGCAATATTGAAGAAATACAATCGTGATCTAAAACTTATTAATAGAAGTAGAGAAAAGGCATAAAGAAAAGAAGGAAACTAGGTAAAAAATAAAAGTCGATATGTTGAATTTGGGTCACTCAAACAGTTCATGGAGCTAACCGAGGTCACACAAAGAAACTGTAATTCATTAAAGGACCACAGCGTCGAATATCACACATTTCTTTAATGCTGTTGTAAAATTTTAAGTTGTAATGTAATATGAAAAGTCAAACTGATAACCTAGGGGCTCCACTTCTTCTCCCTTTGAGGGGAGCGTTGTATGTCATTCCAAATGGCATCAGGGAATCTATTTGTTCTTCTACGACCAAAAAATAAAATGTTGTTAATGGTGACGTCATTTATGCGTCTGTCCGTCAATAGAATCTCACAACAGAACGCAATCTGGACACCACTCCTCCCAACTGACTGCTCTGTGAAGCCAGAGTCAACTCGATGTCTCTTTATTGAGATTTTCTCATTTCTCACCTCCTTTGCACTAGAAATGTGTGGATAGCGTAAGGAGAAATTACTTGCTGGTCACTCCTCTGCGGCGAAAGGGTACTTGCTAGTAATGGACTAATGGGGATGTGCCTCTTAATTAGGTTGCATATTTTCACTTGGTTGACTGCAATGGGGTTGCATTTTCAATAGTTACTAGAATGGGGTTGCATATTTTCGGAATTTTTGGGGGTAAGAAATTCTGGTAAGTAGGGATTTATTAATGGAAAGATCTGTGGTTAAAAATTTTGAGATCTTGTCAATTCCAGTGACTAAGATGGTGTCTGTAATTGTTCACAGATTAGACCTTAATGGGGAAGGGGTTCTGAGAGGCCAACCGCACAGAGCCAGCGAAAATGGACCCAAGAGTACCCTTGGTCACTTCCATGATTGTGTGCGTTGATTGTTTCCCTACGTCAGCCCTCGGCTTCACAATCAAACTTTGTAATCGATGACTTCAAAAAGTACAAACTTTTATTAACAAACCAACTAATGTACCCTTTAAATACATACCGCAGTGCTTATTAAATAGTGCATACACGTACAAGAGAGTACTATAAATTGACTTGGAAAAAATACTATTTGTTCTGCGCCTACAAAAATTTTCCTAGGAGTATTTCACCAAAGGTAGAAAAATGCCCTTGCAGTTATATCAAAACTACAAAAAAATAATAATATACATTATATAAAAAATTACACTGCAAAATTTGCATATCAAAAATGTATAAAAGATAATTTCCTCCAACAATTTTCGATAACTAAATGCATATTTATCCTGGTCTGTTCAAATTGCTTTGGAAAGCTTGGTACCACCTATTTCTGAAACCGGATTATCGCCAGTACTGTTAACACAGCAATGAAGACTGACTTCTGATAACTTATTCTTTCACTGCATTCTTCAAGCATCATTGAAATCAGGAACACTTAAAAGAGTACAATGAGATTTTCATTCACTCGTTCATTTTACACCAGCCCATAATCTTGTGGTAATCTAACAGATGCAATATTTACAATTAAACACACATGCATATTAGCAACCCTGTTTAACATCAAGATTCCAAAATTTAAGGAAGGAACATAAATTTAATTCTGACCAAAACATGTTAAACCTTACATCACTTCTTTCCTTCCTTCCATTCCTGATACTTCTCATAGTTAAATGTTCACAAGTCGTAATACATAATGGGTTATAAGAAGTTTACGTTTGTCCAGTCTGTTTAATCTCTGATAGCAGTAAAGATGTTACATCACATAACTTTTAAAGGACTGTATTGGTTCAAAAAGTGTCAAAGGAAAAAGTTTTCTTCAGCCAGAATCTTCATGTCTTCTTACAACATGATCTCTTTATGATGATAGCTATTTGGTAACAGATGAATTTTGTGGATTGGTAATTTTACGTTTTTCAAGAATTAATTTTGCCATTGGAGTACTAAATCTGTGATTTTCATATGTAATAATTTCAAAAACTACAGGAGGATGAACAAGTGCTTCTGTTTTTGTGACATAACATCCTCAAAGTGACAGAGCTAATGAATAAAATAAGAATTACATCTTTGAAGTAATGTCTACATACACGTATGCTAATTTCCCTTAATAACAAATTTCAATCTAGACAACTAAGCCTATCCCATGCAAAATAACTGCATGGAAGTGTGTGAGTGATGAGGATTCACTTACAATTGGATTCAATTTCTAAACAAGATTATCATCTATATGTATAAACATTAGTCAACAATGCTGTCAACCCATCGCTAAGTCTGCCAGTATCCAGCTGGATAAGATAAGGGTACAATTCATGTTCCCCTTCATGATGGATCAAATTGATCCCTTGAAAACTGAGTATCATAATTTATCAAACATTTCTTTGAGTTGGGTTACTTTCATTTCACCATAATCTTAAGCTACAAGGTTACTTTACAAACAAAAATACATGTCTGCTTAAGAACAATTTCCATGTGGTTTTGAACCAAAAATTGAGCAACGACCTTCTCGGAAGTGCGATGTGTGTATACAAAAATAGATTACAGTATAAACCAAAATAAAAAAATTATTATAGCTTAACTCTACAAAATTTCTTAAAGTTGCTAATGATTAGCATAATTATTGTTACATTTCATGAAATCCTCCATCACACAGAGGATATGTTTGAAACACTTCCCAAATGAGAGATACACACACAGATTGATTACATCAACCACTGAATGATATATTTGATACATTTGCAGGTTTTGCTTTCCAAAACAATTCCTGCATCTAGCACACATGAATTCAAATACTAAAGCCTTAATGCTTGCTTCACCATACTTCACAACAACACTGGTGATGACACAGACATGAAGCAAAATTGTGGAGTGCCACCTTAAATTTATCTTCATGCCGAGGTGCTTAGTTTTGTGCTTGACATTCTTGGAGGGGGAGCTGGAGCAGTCCTGAAACAAAAAGTAAATACAAAGACAGTTTAAACAATAAACTGTACATTTTAAACAGTACAAGTTTTGTTGGAGTGATTTATAACTCAATTGTATTTGAGGGCATTGACTTTGGCAACTTGCACCACAAGAGGAATTTAACCATCTTACACAGGCATCTTTGAACAGAGGCACTTTCCCCCATCTATTTTATTGTATTTAATAGCATCACATCTTTGTATACAGTTGTTGAGCAACTAAAACCTAGCTTTGCATTTTAAGACAAGAACTGAACAACTTTACTTTCTCACCAGTTGGCAGGAAGGAACACTGTTGGCCTTCCAATGAAACCCTGGGGTGCATACGGGATCCACTGATCAGGGTATGGGGCTTGAGCATAACTCGCTGGGGGGAATTGGCCTGTCATATCTCCTGGGATCTGACCTTTAGTGAGTGTGCTCACAGGAGGAAGCACATAGCCAGGGGCTGTGTTTCCAGCTGGGGGTGAGGTGGCTTGGCCAACATCACCTACATAGAGACAGGGCCCAAAATTAGACATAAATATGAACATCAATGACCTATTCTAAAACCACTAGATAGTGATCACAACTTTTTACAGAAACTGATTTAAGCACTTGACTTGGTAGTCTAACAATCCTGTATATATCAGAAAAAAAATTTCTCTTTTCCTATTATTTAACTATTCCACCCAATGCTCACACCTTAACCTTTTCACTCCCATGATCTCCTTAGTAATTCTCCTTACTGTCTGGCATACATTGCTTATAATTTCAGTTTGGAGAATTTGATATCGATTCAAATGATAATCCACTAATTGATATTTTTCTACATTCTCATCACTTGTCTTCTTGAGATTGTATTGATGTTGTAACGGGAAATTCTGTCTTGGCCACTACTGGGAGTGGAAGGGTTACAACTCATATTGAATGAAATGACCATTTGTTCACTTTAATCTACATTGAGAATGCAAAAATATGAATGCTATGTTCTTACCACCACCACTTGTGATAACACGCTGATACTGTATTTGGCTACCTAGAGACAACAAAAAGTAACAGAACATGAGCAAAACCTATCATTACAAGATTAAAACAAATTACTCCAAGCAGTTGAGTTTGAAATCTGTCTCTTAAAATGTATGTCACTTTGGAATAATTCTGTGTTGAAATCACAGAAGCCTACTTCTATTAATTGCAAGTTTGAGTTATAACAAGAGTACTTAAAGGAACTCAAATACATTAACCTTTTAACCTCCAGATCAAATTTGTAATTCTCCTTCCTGTCAACCATACCATTCTTATCATGTTAGTTCAGAGAATTTAGTATTGAATCAACTAATTATCCCTGAATTAATATTTTCCTTAATTCTCATCACTTATCTGGTTGATATTGTATTGATATTGTAAGGAGAAATTCTGTGTTGGTCATTCCTTTAAATCCCATGAGTGTTATTGTCAGTTCTTTAGTCAAAGAAATAGTAGAGCTCAGCTTCATCAAAATTGTCCTCTTAGGAGGACATTGCAACCATCAAATAAAGCGAGATGCTTCTCTTTAATGAGCTTTCACAAGCACAATGTTTTACAAGTTTCCTGAAGACAAAAGTAGGTTGCCTTTAACACTCTGGCTCTGAAAGAGTATAATCCTGTTTCTTGATAGTTATGGGTGGGTAAGTGTATATGTGGGGTTTTTTCCACAGAAAGGCATATAGATTAGTGCAACAAGCATCAGCAAACATGTTGAACACAAAGTAGTCACGTAAACAGAAAAATAGGTGTAAAAAAAGCTTACGTGATGCATAGGAGGGCGAAGTTGTCATAACACTTTGGCCAACAGTAGAATATCCAACTGAGGAACTGTTACTACTAATTGGCTGTGACTGGGTGTGGTCACTGAGGCGCATGGTGTACCCCTGCCCATTTGACATGGGATGAGATGATTGCACTAGGTTGCCGCTTGGCACAGCAATAAATGTTGGGCTGTGCGTTGGCACTCCTGAAGGTCGCATCATGTCATAAGATTGCTGTTGAGGCGGGGGTGGGGCTAGGTTTGGGATGCCCATGGTGGTGTGCATGGTTGTCAGGCTGGGATCAGACACTGGTTTCAGTTCTGTCAATTCTGCTTTCACTGGAGCATCCTGTCAACAACAAATACATGACACTCAGCCTATGTTTGCACCTTTACCTGATTGAGACAACTATAACATTTTACATAACAACATCAAAAAAGAGACAAGTGCTTGTTAAATACCTCTGCAAATTTAAAATTTAACATTGATTGGACACCAAATGCCCCTTGACCAATGGAATCTAAATATATTTTCCCGCACAAACTAGTTCAATTTATGGAAAAGAAAGTGGGGGTACTGTTTGACTATTAAAAAAAAAAAAATTCAGCAGATAACCACAAGAAAGGAAAAGCACCCAGCAGTAAAGAGAGAAATGAAACAACATGATCCGTTGTCACAAAATTTTGATGCAATTTCCATGAAATAGATGGTGAATTAAGGTTTCAGGTCTTGTAGTTCTAGCCAACTTTAATGTAGATTTGCTTTGAGCCTAATTTTTTTCTGCCACATTTAAGTGCCACTGATTGCTTTTCTGGTATTTTTACTGGAGATTTTAAGTTTTGGGCTGCCTTCTACTGACACTTTTGGTTACAAATAGACCCCAGTTTTCTCCTCTCACTAGGCTCTCAATTTCTCCACATATGAAGTTGTTAAGTATAGAACTTACATCATGGACTTGACCGTACTGATGTGAGTGAATGTTGTCATCTTGAACTGGGGTTGGTTGGTTAGGAGGAGGGCTGATAACAGTGGTGGGATATCCATTGGCTGTGTTAATAAAAGTTGTTGGCACAGTCTGGGCAGGACTTGCTGCTGTGGGACTTCCAAGAGGAGGCACTTTTTCTTGCTTCCTCCACTTGGCTCGGCGATTGGAGAACCAAACCTATAGATAAGAAGAGGGAATAAAAATCTGGGGAACAGCAACTGAAGTTGACAGAAAGCTGACAAGAATGAGGACATGACACAAGGAAACAGTAGAGTGGAGGCCACTGAATTAATCTAACCAGCTTTGCAGTTCACAGTGGCTTTAGAAGGAAGCACAAAAGATAACAAAATAAGGTTAAATTGAGATAAAAATTTCTGATAAGGCAGACAAGTTGGGTTAATTGCATAGCAACAAACTATAGGTCATAATCTAACAAGAAATTACTCAGCCTCCATAAAAGTATATTTTGGTCTAGGCTGTAAAACTATAAAAACTCACAAATCAGTGTTACAGGTTAAACATTTCTCATACAAAAAATATACAACTATAAAAAGTAACTTGCATAGACATATAAGAAAAATTAGAACAGGTTAAATCCATCACTGCTAAGCTGGAAAGTCAAAATTATGGTGAGGTTAAATGAAGGTGAAAGTAAAGAAAAAGGGAGTTACAGATGCAGAAATACCTCTCACTAACCAAGTTCAAGGTCCTTATTGTAGGGTACAGACCAAGAAAACCAGGATAGTAAGATACTTATTATATATCTGGGTTCAAATAGTGGGGAAAGATTTCACTTCAACAAACATTTGGTTTCAGGGGCTGTATGGTGAAATACAGCCCTCTAAAGTGACCAATTTTAGCCCAAAAACATATTTAATGTCCTTTTTTTATTGAGGTCCATCCTCTCACATATTTACTAATCTTTTTCTTTATGGTATCTCAATGAAAACAAATAATAGCTCAAAGTTTCTAGCAAGGCCAAATGGGCTTTTTCTTTTTTGAAAACAGAAATTTCCAAACCATGGATAAAAACAACATTGCAAGTATTTGATTTTGCTTTGCTGTATAATATTTTGAATTACATCTCTTGGCAAAACTTCTTTGTTTTCTTAATGATGATTTCTGTTGTTGATTAACCAAGACTAACAATTTGTAAATTATTTTTTAGTTGTTTCAAGGACATACTCTCAACAAAAATGGACAAAATCCCTCTTCTTTGGAGACTAAGGAAGTTATAACACTGCATCATTTTAAGACCCTTTTCCAGCATAACAGCAATGACTTTAGTACCTGAATCCTTGCCTCAGAAAGATCAACATCTTGTGCAAGCTTTTCACGCGTAAACACATCTGGATAGTGTGTCTTCTCAAAAGTCTTTTCAAGTTGTTCAATCTGTTCTCCAGAGAAGGTAGTGCGTTGACGGCGTATTATCTTGCGACCATGAATATCTGTTGGTGAAGTTGCATCTCCTTCTGCTTGTACTTCCTCTTCAGAATGACTCCCTATAAAGACAAATGCAGTGAAAAATTTGGTTTAAGAAACTTCTAAACTAGAAGAACAACAGCAAGAATTTTACAAGTTTTTGCAAAGCAATTGTCTCAATGTTACTAAAGATTCATTCAAGTTACAAGTTTCAGACCCTTAAACTCCTAGAAGTTATTAACATGTAACTTCTCCCTACAACATTCACACAATATTCTCTCCCAATGCAATGAGAATACTCAAACTTATAGGATAGAAGGCACTACCTTGAACCAACACCAAATTCTCATAACTAATTTAACAATAAGATCTTGGGAGTTCAAAAGGTTTGTAACACAAATATTTTATTTGACTCACTAATTGTGATATTTATTATACTTTTCTTCATTATACTGATATCACTCCACTTTTTGGGAGAATTATCATACAATAATCTACTACTTTAAGTTAAGTACCGACAAAAGATATATAATTAAAAAAACCTCTTCCACTAAAAACTGTTAAGCCTGATTATGTAAGAACAGTAAAGTGGACTGCTGAAAAAATGTTTTTTTCATATTGGTAAATTAATTGTATAAAACTTTTACATGTGACAGGTGACCCATCTGACTGATGCTATAAATTAATTATAAACTGCAAAATGATCTAATTGAACTAAATTAATTTTGGCGCTTATAAGGAGCAATAGAAACAATTTAAAGGTAATGTCAAGGGATGATACACTATATCACTCGATGTTCCTAGTTTTATAAATTATTTTAGTAAGATTCAAACATTACTATCTAAATATTTTCCAAACTATAGTAGTTAGCCTTAAAAGCAATATTCTACTCGAATATTCTAATCGAAGGTTTACTACAAAGGTTTCATGCCCTTACTATGACGACTAAAATTCTTAACAAAGCCTCACATACTCCCAAATTCTTTCTAGTCTATCAGCTGACTGAGGAAAAAAATATTTTGTGCGTACGAAGGTAAATTTTGACTGTCGAAAGGTTGTATAAACAAATTTTCGCGCGCGCGCCAACGATGTAAGTAGCATATGCTAAAACGCATGTGCAAAAGGTCAACATAGGGTATAGTGTTTCCTCACGACAAGTTAAGATTCCATCACACAACTTCAAACTTTGAATAAAAGACAAAACATACCTGTGCTTTCTGTACTCTCAACTGAGTGCTTCCTCTTGCTGGGTGGAACAGAATTCGCTTGATGAGGTCCCATTCCAAGAATTCCGCTGATTGAATACGAAGTCCGCGGCATATGAACACCGCTTTCAACTTTTACATCTCCACCGTTAGAGACTTCGTCTTTTGTCGGGCTCATTTTATCGCCGCTGTTGATACGATTTCTAACAATTCTGTTAATAGAGCTGACACTGGGAACATTGTCAGTTGTGCATACACCTTCGCTCAGAAGTCGATCCCGAATCTCCCAAGCGAACATAGTCGGATTTGCTCGCTTGTAGTCCGCGATCTTATTAACGACGGGACCTGTTGCTACCTTGGGCTTGCTTCCACCGATAACACCCGGCCGAATGGAGCCAGTCTCGTAGAATCTGCACAAAATCTTGCTCACACAGCCGTGAGAAACCCTCAACTGTCGCGATATGTCACATGGCCGCACTCCACTCTGAGCCAACTCAACAATTCTCTGTCGAACAACATCAGGTAGTGGCCTTCCATTAACGAACAACCCTCCGAGTTGGTTAACCCCTCCGTGTCCTATGAAGCAGTAAAAATGCGCTCAGGTTGTACCTTCGGGTTTTTTTTGCTACAGACTACAACACTCATTAACTACCTTGCTTCGTGGTGTGAGCCATTCCGGGCGACCCGTCGATCCGTGTGTATTTTTCCTTTCCAAAAATCACTCAGGCGCTTCGAGCTCAGTCAGGCGTTACTAAACACTGTCACCGGCCGCGTAAGCGAAAACCTGTGAAAATCAAATAAAGAGCACAAATACTATCAGATTTCTGCTGCAGATCACTGGAGCGTTTCGAGAGCGTAAAGCAGACAGCGCAGAGGTTCAATCCAGTATCGCACTGTACCTTCCACCCTCGTGCTCTCAGACGGGAAACTTACAAATAAAACGCATCTATTAGTTTCTTAGCTAGAAAATATTGCAACGAACCCGACTCGAAACTGATTGACAGATTTCTTCCAGCGAAGTTTTGATTGGTCCGTTGAGAAAGGTATTGTTCTTTTAACCCAATTTGGGTTACCACAAAACAATTGCATAACGACAATTCTGTCACTCATCTAGAGCTCAATAAGATGCATTACCTCTTCCCGGTAAATTACTTCCCGGGGGATTTCAAGGTTAAGACGAAGCACCGAATTTGGTCTTCTTCACAATTTTCGAGAATGTCGTTAAGCCGAAAATAATGCAGAGTTATTTCAAACTGATCTTTGCTACGAACGAAATAGCATGCGTATTTCCTGTTTGTAGATGCGTCAAGATTGTTCGTAATACACTGGCATAATTAGGTTGCGCAGTTGTCATTGATTTTTTACAATAGGGCCTTTTCTTACTGTGAAGGAATCCGCATCGAGGAGAAAGACGAGTAGGTGTTAAATGCAGCAAAGTGTGACTGATTTTTTAGCTATAGACCTGAAATTCACTCTACCGTATCAGAGCACTGCCTTAACTACAACAGATAAAGCTAAAAACGGAAGCTAAGTTGACACCGAACGAAACTAAATACTAAACAAACTAAAAACAACAGTAGTGGAATTTTTATTATCTCAAGCCCTATTGAAAACATCTCTTTGTGTGTAGGATGCTTTAATAGCGCCCCACAAAGCTTCTTTTCTCAATTTTTTTCACAGTGAAGCTTGGTAATACATTTGCATCTCTTTGACAAAAAGAAACTTTTGTTATTTACCGGCGGAAAATGTTTAAGGCGACTGACAGGCTCTAGATGCTACTTAACACCGACTTTGTGTGTACATTATTTGTTTTTCGCGCAATAAATGATTTATCCACTTTCGCCAATTTATTGCCAGACTGAAGTCAGTGGACGATGCAAAATTTAATCTCACATCACGTTATATCGCAAAGTTGTTTTCATTGCTATGTTGACTGTACCGGATACTTCTAGCATATCACAGCACGATATGGGCACTCTTGTTTAATTGTGTTTCATCTTGCCCCAATGACCGAAGCGTATGAAGACCTTTTGACTTCTAATTTTGAAATGGGCATATTATGCATCAACGAATATTTATAACGAGACGGGGCGTGAGGTGAATTTTTAAGGAGCTGTTAAGTTGTTAACAAGGCAACAAAGTCACTTGATATCGTTAGGGTCTCTTGGTTCATCACATACGGAAGGTAGCCTCTTTAAGAACCATGCGGAAGGAAGCGGTTGAGCTTTTGTACTAACTTTGCTAGTAAAATCTTTTCGAACCACCGATGTTGTGGCTTCAGGCAATCTCTTTTTTCAATGAGTGCTGTGCATAATAATGAAGTGCGATTACAACGCAGATATTAACACGTTCTAGATAATTTAAAGGCATTTCATTCCACAAGTGGCCGAGTTACATATTGTCGATGCGACGTAAATATCGAATCACGATTACACAGTTGTACACTCGATTTCCTTCAAACAGCATGGCGCGAATTTTCGTTGAAATGCATGACGTCATCACAATGGCATTTTCCTCTTGCTTGCAGAGACAAAGGATCGAAGCCAAGGATTTTAGGGTTTTGCCATGGAAGTTGTATGGCTGCGAACACGATCAAATGGCCACTCACCTCTAAATGAACATATGTCTAGACTGTGGAATATGATAGTTCCTATTAATCCTGATGTAACTCAAAGAGAGATTTAACGGACTGTTGGTTTTGACTGCAAACAGAGCAATATTAACACCAGACTTCAAAACATTCTCCACTTGTTTTCTCCAAAGCACAATCGGATTGGCTTAACTTAATTCATCCTCAAAAATTTAAATAGTTTCCTACCAGTTTGTTTGAAATCTTAAAGACGTGACTTTGCCACTTTTTCACGATTTACATAAAGTATTGGAATTTTAAAACCAATCTAATGAATGATTAAGCCCTAAGGCTAGCTTCAAATGATTCAGTTTAAAAAATTAAGAAATCTTCCAGCTGCAGTGGAGTAAAATATTCATTAAAAATGCCTCAAAGTAAGGGAAGTTTGTGAGTTATTTAGGGTAGGATCAGATTTTATACCATGATTTTTTGCGGAAAAAGTTTTGACCTTTGAGATGGAAAGTGAGTTTAAAGAGGTCCTTCACTCAGACGGAAAACCGCGTAAGTGGCTTTTGCACGCAAGAATGATCGGCGGAGAACACGAAATCAAGAGAGCATAGCTTTTTATAACGATCTATCTGCGAGATGTTTAGAGATAAAACACAATTTTGAAGTATCGTGAAATCCTTCTAAACAAAATGTCCCCAACTGAAACAAAATCGTTAAGTTCACTGGAATTTTTTTTTTTTTCGATTGGGCTATAAAATTGCTATCAGGTTTTGAGGCAAACTCTGTTTCTCTGATGATGCGAATATCAAGAGAAGTGACATACAAAACCTCTTAGAAGTAAAGAAGAAAACACACACAGGAGTAAAGAAAATTAGTGTTTGGTCAAGTTGCGCAATAAAGAACAGATTTGCGGATAATCTCCGCCACCTGAATGGAGACATGTTCAAACGTTTCTAACGTTCTATATCTCTCCCCTCGTGTTATCGCTTCATCTTCCTCCTACTTAATGCAACGGAAAGAAAACCATATTAAAACCATTTTAGCCTCGTTATCCTGCGACTCTTCTTTAACAGTCATAACTTAATTGCCGCTTATCGGCAAGACGGAGCGATTTCATCACAAGGGAAGTCACTCGCAAAGCTCTGGAATAAATCAACTTTTATCATTTCTTCTTTCTGAAATTTTCTATCGCGCTCTTGTTCTTTCAATTACATTTAAAAAAATACAAAATAATCGCAAAAGAAAAGGAGTTAATGACAAATTCAGGATTTAGTTTCCTCACTCTTGTTCAACGTCGCCACGTTCCACTGAAAGATCAGACTGGCGGTTCACGTCTCACACGCTTCCTTAGTTTGTATTTTCAACTTGACTGACTTGCGGTTCAACTTTATGATTTTTATACGGGTTCGTATCGCGCGCCACTGTGCTAATTTTACGCATCGAAATCAGCAGTGAGAGACGACATGGTTGTTGCATGCTTCAGTTTCCTAGAGCAGTGATGTGTGGCAATAAAAATCAACTAATGTTAAGGCGTTTCTCTACGAGAAATCAACTCAGTTTGGTTCCTATGAATTCGCGAGGAAATAACGCTAGCCGTTAAACACGAACAACTGTCCTAGTAGAATCTTAGACCAATTTTTTTAGATACGTAGTGCAAAGTCGTTCGCACGAAAAATTCCGTGAGGTTCAGCTCCATTTTGATTTATCTAATCTCTTCCCTTGAGATTCTAGCGACTGGGTTTCTTGGAGCGGTGCATCAAAAACTTCTCGTGGCTGTCTCAGCTTCATCAACCGAAGCAGCTTTGCGCTCCCTAAATCTAACGCTCCTCGTCGTTTTGTTGCAATAATCAAATTACGATGTATTTACTCGTTCACCACAGCTCACTGGCTCATCTTGACGCTACCCTAAATTCACACCTCACTCGAATGAATCCGTGTTAAACCAATGAACCAGAAATGTTCAACAAAATCGACCGACTCCGTTTTACCACAACTCACCAAGCGGTATTTCAGTTCATCGGATATCACTTCTCGATACGGAACGACGATTCGGTTGCATGTATCTTAGTCGCATTGGACGCGAAAGCTTTAATCCAGCGCTGTCTTCCTTAGCAAATATTTACGCAGTAAACAGGCGCTCGTGGCCAGGCGTCAGAAAGGATTTGTGGACGAAATTGTTTGTTTGCGAGAGATTTATCACAACTATAGTCAAGCTTGACATAGCAGCAAGACATGCGAGACAAATCGTTGAAAAGAACGCTGTCAGCGCGATTTTGCCTTCTATATATGAATACTTTTCGAAACTAAGCATGTCGAAAGCTACAAAATTCCTTCACAGTGTACAAAGAAACAAATCTGGTATCAAACCGATAAAACATCATAACCTCTCTCTCTAATTGTTTAAGTACGCTGACTGAAAGCGAACATAACAAGCTATATTAAAAAGGGGAGAAAAAATAGAGGGGTACTTTACCTTCTAAGCGAATGTGCTCGAGTCGGTTGGCTCCGCCAAATAATATTCTTGACAAAGATATAAGAAGTTTGTAAAGGGTTTGCCAATAAATAGGGAGTCCTAGAGTGGCTCTCCTTTGTTATGTATATTAGATGCTTGATTAACTAGCTCGTAATATACTCTACTAATGTTTTTTAGCCTCGAGCGATTCGGCGTTAGATGCATGGGCTTCGACCACGGCAACTTCTGCTAAGTTCAGTTATGACGGGCACTATCAGTCACTAAGATTACCAGCTCGTTATTTTTTATTAGCAAAATATTTTAAAGACCAGCTTTGATTATCAAGTTTAGTTGAAGTTTGAGGGGGTTTCGTGCATGCGTCGAATGACTTTTGCAATCTATTTTTATGAAGGTTGAATAATGTTTTCTCTGTGCTATTGACGTAGTTGTGACCACTGTTGTTTTCCGGAACAAAGGACGAAACATCTCGCCGATGGTGAGCATTCCTTGCTTTTAGCATTCACTCAGTGTTTTCTCTCTCCTTCACAATAAACGCAAGGTGTTTTGAGCTTACTAGCATCTGCAGATTGATTTTGCTAAGCTTAAGATAAATACCAAAATGCAGCACATTGTTCATTTCTTTAAAGCATGTTTACGCCTGATTTCCAACGCTGAATCAAACTACAAGATGCTTCAATATTACCACCAAGTTGAGACGTCTTTTCAATTGACTAACAGGCTTCTCATTGGTCGATCAATCAGCAAAGAATTAACAAAAAGCCGACGCGTTCGTATGAGTGTAGGAATGAGCGCGTTGTTTTCGATTATATCTGCTTCTGGGCGCATTCCGCAAATTCACTACTCGAGGGTAGTTTGTTTGTCATACATCAATTTCCTCTTAGTTCATGTTAAGCTCACCCCAGCTATTGTCAGCGTGAGGTAGATGTCAGCCGATAGCATTTTAATTGCTTCAGCTATTAAAGTTAAAGACAATTTCTAACTTTGACAACGTGCAGTCCATCTTGTTTTGTTAGAGTAGGAAAACTCAGATGGTTTCCTAAAGTTTGACAAGTTTTTTTTTTCGTAAACTTCCCTTACAACTTCGCCAAACCTCAGCAATACGGTTACAATAGGTACATTGATTGATAATGAGTTTGGAGTGTTGCCCAGTGATAAATTTAGATAGTTTCCTTTTGAATGACTGGCAAATAAAATGCAATCCTTGTTTTGCTTCAAGAGTATTAGGAAAACCACTTACTGTTAAATTCGCGCTAATAGAGCTTGACATGCGATGTTGTAAGGTCTGCACAAGGAAGACTCTTGAGTACGTGATTCGAGTGAGTGAATTTTACATTTCAGCAGTAACTCGGAGCACACAAAACATTAGATACTGGTCCTTGTAACAATCATCGTTTGAGTTGTTTATGAAAGTATATTGGAATAGCTTAGATGCTAGAGGTCAATTTGTAGTCGCCATGAAGAAATTCAACCTTACAAGCGGTGTCGCTCAGGACCAGCTTCTGAAAATGGAGAGTCTATGTCTGACGCTTTTTCTTAATATTGTAGTGTTTGTCTGGTTCTAAAAGGGGTCGAAACTAATCTTGAAATGTTGGACGCAGTAGGCTTAGTTAGACTCAAGAGTTTTGCAGTTATCTAGTTGCTTTTAAGACCCTTAACGGTGCGTGAGCGGTTGTGATCCTTCACTGCGCCTTAAATCGTACAAATTATCTGGTATATAGACCCTTATATAAACAAACATGAAGCGAATTAAGCTCGCTAGAGGATTTATTTGTAGTACGGATTCACGCTTTGCTAACCAACCTCGCAGCGTCAACTGCTGTACAAACCCTCGTAATCGAGAACTTTGTCCTTACGACGGTGATAGAGCAAGCCTTCATCAAAAAAGCAGAGAAGGAAAAGAAAAGAAAAGAAACTGAACATCGCAATATTTTTATTGACTGTGCAGAATCAGCAAAGGTTTGAGCCGTAAAGCTTTTTTCCTTCTTATGACAAAGCATTAAGAAGAGAAAATTACTGATTATCTGATATGGGTGGACAAGCACTTTACAATGCCAGTCTCGCTTCCATGATTTTCGTGGCACGCTCAGCTAATGCTCTGTTGAAACCGTTGAAAAGCAAAATTGATTGACTAGGATATGCTTGAGAAAAGCGCAATGCTTTCACAATGCCGGCGAATTTTTAGGCTCACGGATCACGCGAAGAACTGGGCGTCACTCGTTTACGGAAAATTCAACGAAAACACGCTTTATTATGAAGAGTATCATTTACGTTGAGATCGGTCAGAACAATGATTTATGGGGTTGTTATTTAATAGGTTTCTCATGCGTCAAGCTTCTGAGCTCTGATTGTTTTGGTTGCCTTGGTGATTTTTATGGACGGGAAGGGCGTCAATAAGGCGGACTCGTGTCGTTCATGCAAATTTGAGGTAAATATAAGAGTCCATGGATCAATATTGACAAGCGCGTATAAGAAATGGACATTTAATGATTTTCAAGTAGAAGATACTTGAACATCAATTTCGATTTCCTTCATAACTGTAAATCACAGCTTTCATAGTTGCCGGTTCCTTGTTGTTTGATGAAAGTTTCTCACCATACGTGACTTTCCTTCTCTCTTAGATTTCCACCCACCTGCAAAACATAGTTTAAAAAGTCATTGAAACAAAGAATAAAAATTCTCTCTCCACGGAAAATTGGTTTGAAGTAAAGATATTAAGCCGAAAAAGCAACTAATGTAAAAATGTATGGACACGATCACTCGGGTCACTTGTTTCCCACAGTCCAAAAATTCGCTACACCAATGTTAATTTTTTTAACTTTAAAATCTCTGCGGGCGTCATATACATACAATAAGTCTGTATTCATAAACGCTGTCACACGTAACTACCAAACGTCTTCCGGACTCCGAAACTACTTCTTTAATAAGGAAACAGAGAGGTCATGGATGTTTCTAGTAAAATTTTTGGTCAGAAGCGGATTTGGTGAACAAACGCGCAAAATATATCTCGCTTGGTGACTTGTTTCAAATCAATTATGTAATTATGGCAAATCTGCGTAACTTGTGGTTTAACACGGAATTCAGTTCAGAGGGCTATCATACTGAAAAAAAATTCATATATGACGACTTGGGACAAGTGTGTTGAAGAAAAGTTGATACTCGTCATGAAAATTCTTCGTTAAAATGAGCAGTCAAAGAAGATCTAAAACTCACAAGATGGAAATGAATTCGAAAGAGCTACACGCAGGAGCTACACGCCATAAATTGTTCTTTTGTTTTGTTTTATTATTATTGTTTTTGTCTTGTTTTTTTTCCTTTTCTGGATAACCGGTTATTGTTGTAAAGTTCCTTTGAAGTCTCACGAAAATTTTGGGGACCAGGAAAGATGAGACTGATCACAATCCATTGCCGATACAAGTTAATCATTAACCAGTACAAAGACTGGCTACTCTTTAGTTAGTGAACATTACAAAGATGATCTCTTTAATGACAGCGCAAAGTTATATCCACAGTTTCACTAAGAGTCGTTTGATGATTCTTCTTAATAGAAATGAGTAATCGAAGCAAACTAAGCAAGGAGCACACTAACGAACACTGAATCGAACTGAATCTTGTAACATTCCTCTCAGTTTACCAAGAAACCCTTGACACTACTCTTCTGGCTTTATCAGTAATTTTTCAATTAGTTTTCCTAGAAACGTGACTCTAATAAATGAGCTTTCTTTACTTCTTTTCTACCTATGAATTAATGACGACATGACGGGTTCATGAGAATGAATTGCGATCAATTACGTGAACGAATTCGCTGAAAAGCGAATACGAGAGGAAATGAAACTATTCTTCACGCATAATGACGAAATCCTTTCTTTTCTTTGTTTCTTTGTTTGTTTAGTGATCATTGCTTCTTTTCTAGTTAGAGCAAATAATGTAAATGAAACCATATTCAAATGCTACAAGTACACGCGACTCTTTGGTGCCAGCTCACAAATTCCCGAAATGCTTCTGGGTTCCCAGTTGATTATCCATTTCCTGACAAAGATAACAATTACTGCACATTCGTAGTTCTCATCAGATTACCTTTAACTGAAGTTTGACCTGTATGCTTTGCTCATGGATATTAAAAAGCTGTATTACCATTCTTGAGGTTTTAATTTGTATTTTTATATATTCACTCATCTATTCATTCAATTATTTTCAATAAGCAATGAAACAAGAAATAATCTTTTCTTGTTCATCCCAGACTCGTAAAAGAAAACGCAATAATAAACCAAAACCAAAATCATGACATCGTCTAATCAGGAGAAAGCAAGTACTATAAAGAACCAATGAGAACTCAAAGTAAACTGATCAAACAAAATGCCCAAAGCGCGGAAAACGTGACCAGGTAGTGATTGGTGTTAATTTTGCATCTGATTGGTAGGTTGGGAAATTGGTGCAAGTTGTTTTGGATCACAGAGCAAAACAAAGAAAAACCACTGCAATCCAAGATTATTTTTGACACTTAATTGAAAACTGGTCTATAACAGCTACCAGGTATAACTATGTATTTCCTTTTATAAGTGATGCTCATGAATAATGGGCACATAGACGAAGTTAACTGAGCAAAAATCACAAGCTAAGGTCAAAGGATTTCAGAGAACCCTTTGCCTGTCAGGTCTCCATCGTTTGTGACCTGGGTTTTTCTTCAGTTTTTCATCCAAAATCTTTAATTTTTCACTGATATATGATGTCATCTGTGCTGTTTCGGTTTCTGTTCCTCGCTTTGTCTTCTCATCTATTTTTGTGTCATTGTTATCGACGTTCTTTCGATTATGAGCGATTCTTAATCTGATTTTTCAGTTTTGATGGATATTTTTTTCGAATTTTCCGGTCTCTTCGTTCGATCATTGTGGTTTGGCCGACATGATATCTCACTTTGACACAACTAGATAGTCCGGTAGAAGGAAAATTCAAAGGTCTGTACGTTTGAAAAAGTGATGAGAATGATGGCGGTGACAAATTCAACCGAGAGTGGGACACAGATTAAGGCATCTGAA